CAAAAATAGACTCCTAACGTCTCAAAAATAGACTCCTCACACGTCCCCCTCTGTTTCCCGATCCTCTCGTTGCCTCGTTCCTGTGCTACTCGCTCCCCGTGCCATGCTGCCACATTTCGAGGCGCCTCAAAACTAGACTCCCCGTGCTATGCTGCCACATCCCTGCATGCAGGACGACGCTGCCGCCCGCCCCACGATGCCCGAGATACGGCAGGCTCTGGAGCAGCACCTGCAGGTGGATCCTCAGGTGTTTGAGCCCCTGGACGTGGAGGTTGGGGGCGTGACACTAGGGGTCAGTGACTATATGGAGGGGGGGGCAGATGCTGCTGCTGCTGATGGTGGTAATGCTGCTGATGGTGGTGGTGGTGCTGCTGCTGCTGGGGATGGTGGGTATGGGGCTAGTGACAATGAGTTTGCTTCTGCTCCTCTTGCCACTCCCCTTGCTGCTGCTGCACTGGGAACTCCTCGGAATACTGCGAGTGACTGGGCGGCAAAGATCGTCGCTACTTTTGGTGCCACTGCTGCTGCCCCTGACGCAGGTTCTTATAGCGAAGGGCAGGCGGGGCAGGGGGAGGCGGACAGCAGTGTGCTTCTAGAGAGTGGGTTTTCTGCCCCAGTGCCTAAGGGCAGCAAGGCAAAGACAAGGCCACGACAGGGGGCACGAGGGAGAGGAGGGAGAGGAAGGGGGGTAGGAGTGGGAGGAGTGGGGGGAGGAGCAGGGGGAGGAGCAGGATCGTCTGTATCAGGAGCAGCAGCAAGAGGGGGGGGAGGTGGAGGGGTGGGAGGAGCAGCAGCAGGAGCATGGGCCGCGGTGGGGGGTGTGGTAGAGTCTGTGAAAGGGAGTGTGTCAAGGGGGGTGTGTGTGGGGGTTCCGGGTAGTGTGAGTGAGGTGAGGGATGTGGAAGCTGCTTCTCTGCTTATATCGAGACCAAGAATGGAGAATGGTGATGGTTATTAGCATTAACACTTAGTGGATCAACAACACTGAATGCACTGCCAACTTTATGCATACAGTGTGCTGAAAACCACAAAATTTAAGATCAGAGTCCTGTGCTTTTGCTTTTATTCCATGTTTCACTAGAAGCTACGCTTCAAACTTGTTACCTGTACACAACAGTACATTATGAAAGCTTGGTGAGGTAGCGTGCAATCTCGGGATCATCCAGAGGAACATCCAGGTCTCCTCGAATTTGGAAGAGCTGTTTTATAATGAGAGGCGGCTCCTCCGCCTTCACTCCCTTCATCGCTGCCTCTAGCAGCTCCTTGGTGCCGTACTTCTCTGGAGGGCAATGGGTGGAGGGGAATGGGTGGGGGGGAGTGGGTGGGGAGGAATGGGCGGAGGGGAATGGGCGGGGGGGAATGGGCGGGGGGGAATGGGCAGAGGGGAACGGGCGGGGGGGAATGGGTGGGGGGGAATGGGCGGGGGGGAATGGGCGGAGGGGAATGGGTGGAGGGGGTTGGTCAAGGGTTGCTTGGAAGGTAGGGGAATGGATTGAGGGGTGAGATAAGCTTTCGCACTAAGAAGGGCTCCTCCACCCTCACTCGCTTCATAGCTGCCTCTAATTGCTCTTTGGTGCCGTACTTCTCCGCAAGGATGGGCGGGAATTGCGGCGCAGTGACATTGCTCGGGCTTATTACCAAGCCATGCACTGCTCAGTCAACAGACGGGGATTGAGAGAGTGGGAAGGCCTCGCACATTCAGCTTAGGAAGGTAGGGAGGTGGTGGGGAGATTATGGGGGGAAGTTTATGCCTTCGTGAAAAACAGTGGGAGAGGAAAAGAGGGTGGGGTTGGGGGCGGGGGGCGGTTTGTGGGTGGGATTGAGTGGGGGGGAAGGGGAAGGGGGGAGGGGAGGGGCGCGTGTGCCAATAAGCAAGCGTTGCTTAGCTCGCACGAGGGCAAGCGCGCTGGGTCCAGGCGAGGCAGCGTGGGAAAGGAGTGGGGAGGGGGGTGGGGGTGGGGTGGGGGGGTTGTGAACTGATTCAATAAGCAGGCAGAGGGGTGTTGCTTACCTTGCACGCGGGCAAGCGCACTGGCAACGGCAGGTTCCAGGCGAGGCAGCGTGGGAAGGACGCCCGTGGCGAGAACCTCAGGGGTTAGCTCTATGTCGGTGCTGCTGGCCATTGAAGATGCCATGTGGCTCGCTGGGGAAAGGGGATAGACGAAGGAAACAAGCGGAGAGAACCTCAGGGATTAGCTCTTTGTCGGTGCTGCTGCTCCGACCTGCTGCGGGAATAAGAGAAAACGAGGACACAATCCGTCGAGTAAGGCTTTTGAGAATTATTTAAAAAACTAGCGCTGCGGGAATGGGAGTGAACAAGGAGACATTTCGTCGAGTAGAACCAGTATCGATAGGGTGAGCGGGGTGACGGGAAAGGAAGGGAGCTGCTGCTACGGCTGACGGGTTTCAGCGCACACGCCGCGGAAAGGAGGCGAGGATCGGCAGTCTGGCTGCGTCCGAATCAGTTTTGTTCTCCAAAATGCGTCGCAATAGCAGGAAAATCGAGACTCACTGCTGTAGCAGAGGATTGTGCACTTGCGCCGGGGCAGTGAAGGGAAGGGTGGTCGTGGTGGCTGCGGTCAAGGGGTCGCGCGCAGTAGGCGCCGAAGTTGAAAGAGCGGCGCGAGGGGGATAAGGTGGTAAAAGTGGGCTGGTGCGCCTTGGTACGCTATGAGGACTACTCAATAAAATGTCTAAGGTCACCAATCTTCCGTCATACACCCCAAGCACACAACAGCTAACAACGTAACTGCTGTTAAACTACATGCTATCCCCATGGAGCTTGGCATTGGCACACTGGCCCCAACGTTCCCCTGGGAGGAATGGCAGAAACTCATGGTCATTTAACACATGCATGGTTGGTTCTAGGAACGTTGAGTGAAAACAACTTCCATTCTTCCATTCTTCTAAGAGACAAGATGTCAAGCTCTCAAACCGTCAGTGAACAAACGACACGAGCACCAATCATCCATGCAGCAACCAATCACCTCAGTCAGAACCTACACTGCATCATGCTAGTGCACTCACCCCCCCCGCAGCAACAATACCATCCTACTCCCCCAAGAATCTTCCATTCAAGCACATCTGCCACAGTCACTCCCCCTCATCATTGCCCACCAGGCGGGGGGGGCATGCCTGGGCGCGGGGGACCATACATCCCCGGATGTCCCCCTGGCGGAGGGGGCATACCCGGCCTTGGCGGACCCATCATCCCTGGCGGAGGCATCCCCCCTGGCGGGGGCATTCCCCGCCCATACTGCATGGGTGGCGCACCGCCTGGCGGAGGCCCACGCGGGGGGAATTGCGGAGGCGGGCCACCGGGGGGAGGTCCATAACCTGCGGGAGGGGGAGGCATGCCCGGGCGCGGGGGACCCTGGGGGTACATGGACGGGGGCGGCCCCATGCCTGGTGGGCGCATTCCGCCTGGGCCGGGCGGAGGGGGCATGCCCGGCCGCGGAGGCCCACCCCCGGGGAACCCAGCAGGCGGGGGGAAGGAGACGGGAGGCGGGCGCCCAGGCGCAGCGCCAGCAGCGCCGCCGGGCGGTTGGTACGAGATCGGCGGAGCCGCCACTTGCGGGCGCGGCTGCATCAGCGACGGCGCTGGTCCACCGACTCCGCGCGCGGGCCCCGCCAATCCGGGCTGCGCTTGACCGAGCGGAACAGTCGGAACCCCCCGCCCTGCTGCGCGGCCGACTCCAGGGCCCCCCGCAGCTGCGCCAGCGGCTCTCCCGCGGTTTTCATCCTGAGGCGGCGGCCCTTCGACGGTGAGACAAATGACCTCCTCCCCGCGGAGAATCAGCAGCCCTAATGTGCGGCGCTCCTCGCGGTCTTCCGGCGCCTTGGAGCCTTTCTTGGGCGGCAGCTTGCGGAACTCCTCGCACTCCCCGAGGACGAGGTTCATGTGGCGATCGAACGCCATGAATTTCCCGACAAGCTCGCGGCCATCGGAGACTGTGACGCGCATGCGGTAGTTGATGTACTGTAGCAACTTGGATCCCTTAGACATCGACATGGCGCCTCGCTGGTCGCCGCAGCTCGATTAGGATAAGATGATCGGTTATGAAAGTAATACTCTGTCAGACCATATATACTAGAGTCGGCTGTGCACTGATCCAAGGGGCGATAAGGACTACCAAGCCAGACTAACGGGGAGCACGCCCTTGAAATGTCGAGCTTTAGGGTTGAGCCTCTCTTTTGAACCTTCGAGATCAGGAGGGGGGGAAAATTTGGTGGGTCATGGGGATTATTGTACCGTAACATAATTAAAACGTGTTGGTTATGCTGGTATAAGTACACTCTTAAATTTCACTTCAAGTAGGCATTTAGCAATCACGTGCTGCTCCATGTGATTTATGGGGAATATATATTCAATATATGGACTTTTAATAACATGAATCTGTATCTAGACTATCATATGATGGCCTAGCCTTGTTGTACACTTTAAATAATTCTTTCACTGCTCCTTATTATTGATTACCGAAATACGTTTTCGCATTAAAAATATGGTACAGTTAAATCCCCTTATATATTATTTCTGTTCAAGATTCCGATACGAGCGTGTAAATGTGAATTGTGCTCACATGAACAAGAAAGCATCAGCCATTAAATGTTAATTTTGCATCATTGTCGGGGGTATTTCTGTCGAGTATGTCAGAATCCAGATGTTGCAAATGGCAGAGCTGCCAATGGTGGCGCAAAGATTGTCAGGGGGACGAGCAATCCCGCGCTGACAGGTCGAAACAGCCTCGTTTCGTGAATCAAATTGGTCAGTCGCACGTCCAGGTCTCTGAATCGCTGGCGATTGTCTGACGACAGATGAAATTTCGGGGTCGCCTTGGGCTCTGTTTTTCGCGAATCACAAGTGCTCCCCGTCGCACATTTACAGTTGCTTTGCGCATCCCTGGCGACTGTCTGACGACAGGAGACGGAGGGAAGTCTCAAATCCCATCTGGCGACCATCAAGGTCCTCGTTGTGCGACGGTCGAGGCCATCACTTCCAGAGCTCCATCTACCCCAGCCGAAGCCCTCCCTCCACTTCCTAGATACCATCTCCATTTTCTTGGGCATCGAACTTGTTAGAGACGTCTTCAGAACCTCTGCTGTTGTAGCCTGAAGTCCCGTTTGTGTCGTAGTTTCCCATAGTTGCCCATACCATCCGGTCGTCAGGGTATCATCATCATGCCGCAGATTCAATATTCCGAGAAGTATTTCGACGACATCTACGAGTACAGGTATCTGTCGTGCTCCCGCTTGTGGATCACCCTAGTGCAGCCGAACCGGAAATTCTGGTCCTGAGTCCTGACATTGACATTTGCACGATCCTATGTCGGGTTGCCTCTTGCAGGCATGTAGTTCTCCCCCCTGATGTGGCGAAACTACTTCCGAAGAACAGGCTACTGTCCGAGGTGATTGTTGTCATTGCCTCTGTTTTAGCTTGCGCGGTGAAACTGTTTGAATCTGACAACCTGTATGTTCCGTCTGTTGACTGTTTCCAGGCTGAATGGAGGAGCATTGGCGTGCAGCAATCCAGAGGATGGGTTCACTACGCTATTCATCGTCCCGAGCCTCACATCATGCTTTTCCGTCGGCCATTGAACTATGGACAGCAGGTTCAGCCAGCCGCGCAACAACTTCAGCAGCAAGTAGGCGCATAAGATACGGTAGTGACTTCCTCACGCTCCTGGTGCAGCAGGATCACCATACAAGTCTCATCACTGCTCATGATGCCAGTTAGCAGCCTCTTCAGCAGCTTGTGTCATAGAAAACCAGATCTGTCAATACTCAACGTCTAGTTGCGATTATTAATTCCTTCAATTCTTTTCCGAACGGGTTTACAGGCCTTCATTCTGCTGTTACAGGCTTAACGAGATCTCAAGCCCTAACAGGTGACATGTTTTGTTAAGAACCAAGTTACATCTTTCTTTAAAAGAGACATATTTTCAGGTACTAGTGCTTGTGAATGTACTTTTTCTTCTCTCTGCTTTCTGCTTACTGCTGCCCAGCCAGCTAATCTGACCAATAGACTGCCAAATTTGCATAACCTTTTCATGGTGGTAGCTTTGAGGCATGAGTCTAGGTAAAAAGGGAGGAACATTCCTCAGTGCAACTCAGCGCACAACATGAAAAGCTCTTAAAACCTGCTCTCCTAAACCAGCATGGGCCCCCTCAACACTGTCTGGGTAGATAAACCAACGATGATCATGTCCAGTGTATGATGTGGAAGACGGTACCGGTGGCTAGGGTGAATCAGACGAGGGCGGTTTTGAAAACTTGGGAGCTGGAAATAGCATGGGTCGCTATGTTCAGAAAAAACCCAGAAGATACTGCTGATACCTTGAGTACACTCCATACTGCATCATAACAATAATCTCCTTAAAGCAACTGTACAGCAGCGATGGATGGGATTTTCTCCCGCAGCTTTTGAGTGACAGCCACACGGACAGTCATCACCCCTGCTGCAGGCCCATCAATCCGGACCTTCACAATAGGAGGGTCAATCTTCACTAGTGTCAGCTCGCCACCACCCGTGCCCACCAAATATGGCCGGATTTCAGACAGCACCTGAAACAGTGAAACACGCATCGTAAAAACGCATGAGCAAACAAATTACTCTGCATTAAGTAGACACGAAGAATCTGCGGCACAAGCTCGCTCACCTTTTCAACATTCTCCTCGTCCAATGGAAGGCCCGTCTCCTGGTCCGTAATTTGCTCGACAGAGACAATTTCTGGAATCTTTTCCATCAGCCTCCGTTCAATCCCCATCTTCATGGTCATTGTGGAACTCGGGCACGAGCCACACGCACCCTGAAGCCGCAGCTTTACAACGAGACCGTCGATATCGTACAATTCCACATTACCGCCGTCAGCCATCAGGTACGGTCGAACCTCGTCAAGAACCTTCTCGACGTTTTCTTCAGTGAGCTCCAGGCCATCAGTTGAGACATCGCCTTGAGACGCAAGGGCGGCGGCTGCGAGACACGAAAGCAAATATGCTAAGTTGTTGCAGTTATTTCAAAACCATGCGTCATGTGAAGGGCGTAAGTAGGCGTACCTGTAGGTTCTCGTCTGAAGTACCTCTGATCCCCAATAATCTCCGCGTTTCTAGTGAGAGGTGAAGCACGAAGCTGCACAGTAGAAAGTGTTCTGTCAGGAACGAAACATATTGAAGAATGCAGTACGACGGAAAAATAACTGCTAAGAATATCCAAGAGCTTAGCCTGACCTGACGACCTAGACGCGACGGAGCGACGGTTGAATTGACTAGTGCCGATGCTTCCCTGACGACACCAGTGAATGGAGCGAGACGAAGCGAGATGGTTGCCATGTTTCAGCAGAACAAGATCGGTTAATAGTGCCCTTGAGTGCAACTACTCGTCACACAAGGAGCAAAGCAGCGCTAGACTTGCTTGCGTTCTAGTTTAGGCGCCGATCCCCTTGCTCACCCCTAAGCTCCACGCTCACGCAAACGGGTCTTCTGAGGACGCTAACCCTGTGGGCTAGAAAGCTGCTGTCATGTAGTAGCTGTGCTACATGTAAGTCTGGGTCTTCTGGGGGTACGACGGGGATGGATGATATGAAATGAGATGAGATGGGATGGGATGAGGTAAGGTTGGATGAGGTGGGGAGGGGATGTCTGGGAGGAGGAAGCTGTTACCTGTACGAGCCCGGCTTCTTGGCTGTCGTGCGCTGCAGCTTGCGAGGGAAGGCGGAGTTCGCCACCAGTGCTTTTGTTACACCTGGCAGACGATGATGACATGGCACTTGTCGGCAGCGTAACGAGTGTTGGATGCTTGCGCGTGGCTGTATGCGTGAACAACTCGACACAGAACTAACGAGTAGAGAGTCTGATCACAGGCGGAATGCTATAGAAGTGAAGGAAAAAGTCACAAGCTTAGAGTAACATCTACATTTTCCAGGATTTTATAACAATCACAAGTGGCTACAATCTTGAACCATTCTAGGCCTTGCTAAAACGTCATACATTCCCCGCTCCTCTTCCTGAAAGCCTGCGAGACCGTCTAGTTGGTGCCACTTCCCATCCATCCGCCACTTCCTCTTGTGTCAGCAGTTGCTCTTGAGGCGCTTCCTTTGCGGCTCTACGATCACCTGAACCAGACACTCCCATCCCGGCACTCCTTCCTGGGCCATCTTCATCCATGGCTCCTCCATTCTCCACTTCCTCCACGTCGTCATCACTGTCATCGCTGTCTGCATTGCGATTGGCCTGAGAACCACAGAACCATGAAAGAAAAACCATAAATGACGCAACATGATAAATTTTGGGGAAACGACACAAAAAAAAAAGGGAAAAAAAAGAAGCAAGACACCCTAATATGTTGCCAACTGGTTTATAATCTCCTCCTCTGTACCTGTATTGGTTCCCTGCCCACGCTGACTTACCGCCTTGCTTTGCTGCAGGGCCGAATGCCGTCCCTTTGCAGCAGCTGCTGCTTCTGCTGCTTGCAGCTGCTGCACAACGGTGAAACTGCCATCTTGACACGACTTGAACACTTCCACTACCTTATCCGCCACCTGAAGCCGGAAGGAAGGAAGGAAGGGAAGATGCAGAAGGGAAGAGAAAAGGCATGGACGAGCTTGAGAGGTTAAGACGGTCTACAGGCTTGCCAGTTCTTCACCCAGTCTAGAGCCTATAAACATATCGATTTCAATGCTTCGTTTAAGGGGCCTTTCCACCCAGTCTTGCTCCAACAGTCAACTTTGTCGTCCAGACAACTAGCTCTCTCCCCTTCACCTCTCTCAGGCTCCCAGTTTCCACCCCCATGTTGAAGTCCCTAGCATCCACAGCTATTCCCGGCCATTTTCCCATCCTCACCTCGCCTCTCCTTAAGCTCTCACCTCTCTCGAGGCCCTCACCTCTCTCAGGCTCCCCTCCTCCACCTCCATATCAAAGTCCCTCACTGTTGCCTCATCCAGTCGCTCCCCCCGCTCCTCATGAAGTCGCTGGTATCTGCAGCTACAGCCATCCAATTTCCATCCAGATTCAATGCATCTCCTTCACCTCTCCCCAGGCACTCACCTCTCTCAGGCTCCCGTCCTCCACCTCCATGTTGAAGTCCTTCACCGTCGCCTCGTCCAGCCACTCCTCCACCTCGTCCGGATACACCGCACCTGGTACACACACCACGGCATAAAAGAATATGACATGATAAACGAATGCGCTCATGTTTCCTGCAGTCGCCCTTTTTTTCCGCCCTAGTTGCTAAAAGCGTTAATGTGCTTGCATTGCACTGTGCAAGGCGACGTAGGAATAACGGAGGGGGGTGGGGGGAGAGGGGGCGGGGTCAGCACGTACTGCGGCGGATGTCCGCCTTGTACTATGCAACCGCGCATATTCCCCCCGCTTATCGCACATATCCCCCCCTCCCTCCCCCCCCCCCCCATCGCAAATATTCTCCCCCTCACCGCGCATATTCCCCTGCTTACCGCGCATATTCCCCCCCACTAACTGCGCATATTCCCCCCCGCTCACCGCGCATATTCCGCCTTCACAAGTGCACACCAGGTCCTCTTGCAGGTGCTGCGCCTTCTCCGCGCTGCGCCCCCGCCCCACTGACTCTCCACCGCCAGCTGCAGCGCAAGTATTACTCGGATTCCCCCCACCTACCGCGCGCGTTTCCCCCGCTTACCGCGCTTGCTGTAACAGAAGTGCACGAGGTCCGCCTGCAGGAGTTGCGCCTTCTCCGCGCTCCTTCCGCCACCCCACTGATTCTCCACCGCCAGCTGCAGCGCCGTCCAGCGCGCAAACACCAGGCGCACGCCCTCGCGGAACCACCCGTCCGCGTGCTGCTCCGCCGCGCTTATGGGGACGGGCACGGGGCCGGGGAGGACCGCTCCGCTGCGCAGCTGCATGCTGGCGGAAGGAAGTCGCGCGGAGCGGGATGATGCGCGGAATGGGAGGACGGGTGGAGAAAAGTCGCGCGGAAAAGAAGGACGAGCGGAAGAAAGTCCCGCGGAAGAGAGTGCCAGGAAAAAGTAAAATGTGCGCGGAGGCGGCGGAGCTTTCGAGGTTGGCTGTCAGTGACGACGCTCGGCGGGAAATTGTCCGAAACTAAGGAACAAACCAGCTAGCTAGGGGAGAGGGGATAAAGTGTAAGGGGTTGAGCCGAGAAGGTCGGTTTGGTTTGGCAGGAGGGTTTCAGCGATTGTCAAATTTGGGGAATTCTATTGTTGTGTACAAACGTGTTTGGGCTCGTTTAACGGGATAGTTTGTCACGGGTACGAATCCACTCTTGTTTTGCGGCCCGTTCACCAACATTCCCAAGGTCACACAAGGCCAGGCAAAAGCGAGCTTGCTGCTCGTTCTAGCTTCAGCAGCCCTGGTCGGCTCCAGTATGTTAGCTAGCAGCTTGAATGACCGATCACCCTGTATTGTTTGCAAATATGTTTTAAGCCTAGTTCTTGACGCTACTTCTAGAGCTAGTAATCTTCTCGAGAACTACTCGGCTTCGTCTAGGATGGCTAATGAGGGCTATTCGAATTATAGTACCATCCCATGATACGTCATTCTTCAGAAGCATTCCCTTCTTAGATGAAGCCGGCATGGTTGGACGCAACTCTTCGAAATCTTCTCGTGGAGGGGGGAACGCGGTTCGTCCGAGTTTTTCTGCTTCTAAGTGATACGTCATTCTTCAGAAGCATTCCCTTCTTACATTCGAATCCTAGGTCCTCCACGATCGTAGATTACGTTCTAACGGATTCCGTTTATAATTCCCTGTCGTAATCCGTTAGCTCGCGAGCTCGTCAGCCTTTTCGATCGCCTCGCCTCCTGGGACACAGCCTAGTGACCCGACCACGTTCCGTGAAGACACGTGGCAGCCTCTTACGCATCCAGCTGGCGCTTCGAGAAGCAGAGCGTGAACTGATCGTAGTTTTTCGAGTTCACTCTCCATGGCTGCTCACGCTCATAGCGGGCCCAGTAACCCCCGCAATAACGCGCACAGCGGGCCCTTGTCCCCATCCGCGGGTGTGACAAGAGCGGGGGGGGTGACTACAGCGGGGTCTGTGAGCGACAGCAGCAAGGCAGCGAGCGCGCTGTGGCTCATGGCGTCGCACTTCGAGAGCACCCGCCAGATCCCGCAGGTGAGGCTGGCGCAGGTGAGGCTGGTTCCAGTGAGCTGTTGTGTTGGTTGGCTGGTTAGGCTCCTCGTGGCGTCGCACTTCGAGAGCACGCGCCAGATCCCTCAGGTGAGGCTGTGAGAGTTGAGGCTGGTGCAGGTGAGGCTGGTTGCAGTGAGCTGCTGTGTTGGTTGGCTGGTTAGGCTCCTCATGGCTCTGGGAGAGCACACGCCAGATTCCTCAGGTGAGGCTGGCGCAGGTGAGGCTGGCGCAGGTGTAGTTTGATTCGACTCACGATTCCTCAGGTGATGCTGATGCAGGTGAGGCCAACAAGATGACTGACTGTTTACTGCATGTTTTGAGGCGCCTCAAAACGAGATGACTGACTGTTTACTGCATGTTTTGAGGCGCCTCCAAACGAGATGACTGACTGTTTACTGCATGTTTTGAGGTGCCTCCAAACGAGATGACTGACTGTTTACTGCATGTTTTGAGGCGCCTCCAAACGAGATGACTGACTGTTTACTGCATGTTTTGAGGCGCCTCAAAACGAGATGACTGACTGTTTACTGCATGTTTTGAGGCGCCTCAAAACGAGATGACTGACTGTTTACTGCATGTTTTGAGGCGCCTCCAAACGAGATGACTGACTGTTTACTGCATGCACATACAATACGCTGTCACCCCCTCGTCCTCTCTCCCTCATCTCCCCTCTTCCCCCGGCCCCCTCCCTCCTCTTCCCGCTCCTCCCTGTCTCTGCCTCTTTCCAGCTGATGAAGTGTCTGGAAGCCGTGTTCCAGAGCCCCCAGCCCTTCCTCCCTCTGGCGGAGGTGCGAACGTGGTGCTGGCTGGCGTATGCGCTGCTGCAGCCGCTGCCACTGCTGAAACACGTAAAAGGGGTGCTGACTTGCCCGCACAAGTTAACCCCCACCACCCCCCCCTTCCCCCCCTCCTCCCTCATTCCAGCTAGTGAAGTGCCTGGAAGCCGTGTGTCAGAGCCCCCAGCCCTTCCTCCCTCTAGTGGAGGTGCGAACGCGGTGCTGGCTGGCGCACGTGCTGCTCACCCACTCGCGCAACGTGCTGCAGGCTAAGGCACACCTGGAGAGAGCGGTGAGATGCGGTTGTGTGCGGTGATAGGTGTGACTTGCGGTTGAGTGGGGTATGGTGGAGGTGCGAACGCGTTGCTGGCTGGAGCACGTGCTGCTCACGCTCTCGCGCAACGTGCTGCAGGCTAAGGCGCACCTGGAGAGAGCGGTGAGACGCGGGGATGAGCGGTGATGATTGGTTGAGAGGTTTAGTGGTAGAGGTCCGAACGTGGTGCTGTCTGGCGCATCTGCTGCTCCATTATCTGGAAAAGTGGTGCGAAGGAGTGATCAACGGTGGAGAGCTTTATGCATCCCTTTGCACCTCCCTCCTGCCCCCTAATTGCCTCTCTCTTCCCTATCCATGTTCCCCCGTGCAGCAAGTACTCCTGAAGGCCGTCCCTGGAAACATCCCCCTCAAGTGCACAGCCCTCTCTCTCCTCGCCACGTGTTACCGCCTCATTGGCCACGCCCACTTCCACAAGCACGTGCTCCAAAAGGCCATCGATTTAGTCACACACCACCTAGCCACCCTCCCACCAGCCCACCCCCAAACCTGGGGCTCAGCCTCGGGTTCCGAGCCAGGCCCCACCTCGGTAGCAAGCTCGGGGTCCGGTTCGGGAGTAGGTTTGGGAGGAGGTTCGGGTGCAGGTTCGGCAGGGGAGCTGGTGCGGTGGCTGGGAGTGTTTTCAGTGGGGATTGCAGGGCAGTTGGTGGGGGAGGGGGATGTGGAGGGGGCTGCTGGTGCGCTGGCTAAGGGCATGGCTGCTGTGCACACGACTGGGGATAAGGGCATGATGGTAGGTGTGTGTATGCGTGTCTTTGTGTGTGTATGTATGCGTGTCTGCGTATGTGCATGTGTCTGTGTGTATGCATGTGTCTGTGTGTATGGATGTGTGGTGTCCGTGCATTGGTGTGTGCATGTCGCAAGTTGGCCGAGGCAAGGGATAAGGGAATGATGGTAAGTGTGTATGCTTGTGTATGTGTTGATTGTTGCGTACATGTGCCCGTCCTTACGTCTTTCTCTCTCACATCTTTCCCTTCTCCCGTTGCTCCTTGCCTCGTCCCCTCCCTCCTTTCCCCTTACCTCCTATTTTCTCCCTTCCCTCTTTTTCCTTCTGCCGCCCCTATCCCCAGCTCCTGCTATCCTCCTCTCTGCTGCATATTCGCATCTCGACCGTCCATCACACTCCGCAGCAGATCTCAGCCCTTCTTTCGGATTGCACCTCTTTGTGGCAGCAGATCCCGCCACGTCAGCAGCCAGACTACCGGGGCCTGCTCGTTTACGTCCAATTGCTGGCTGCTATGTGGCACCTCCGCGTGGCTGACTACAACCAGGCCAGGGCTGACGTGGCAGCAGCAGAGGAGGGGCTGGCAGTAATGAGTCCTGCTGCAGCAAATCGTATTGTGCCTGCTGGCAGTTCTCCTGCTGATGCGTCAGTGCCATGTCAGTTGCAGCAGCAACAGCAGCAGCAGGGGATAGATATGCGAGCACACAGAGGTGTGCAAAGGGATACAGGGGCCGTATTGGGAGGAGGTGGAGGATCCGACGAGTCACCCGTGTGTTACAGGGAGGATCCGTTGATGCGGTTACCACTGGGCCCGCCCCACGTGCTGAAAGCTGATTGGCTGCCGCTGCCAGCTGTCAGGGCGCTGGCAGGGCTGCTTAAGGTCGTGCTGAGCCGTCCGGGAGGAAAGTTCCTGGAATCTGAGGGGGTGCTGAAGGAGGAGCGGGAGATGCTGCGAGGTGAGTCTTGCGTGAAGAGTTGAGCGTCTCTATTGTAGAGAGGGATTTTTCTGCATGTATCTATTGCCTCCTGTGCGTGTTGTGTCATATTGGCCGGCATTCATTGGCCTTATGCACGTTAAGAACGGGATAGGCAGTCTCGTCCTTACCACCTTTCTCATTCTTACCACTTTAAAGTTTAGGAGGGGACGATCTGATCTTCTATCCACCTTGTGTTGTGACTCTTAAACTCAACCGCCCTCAACCTTCCCCCCACCTTCTGCTTTGCAGACGAGCTTCTTCGCATTGGCGTGCATCAAGGGTCAACAGGTACGCTAATGCTCACTGGTCATTCAGCGCCCGTTGAGCGTTTAGAGCAACCAGAGGCTAGAGTGCTTCTGATTTACGAACTATTTCACATGACAGTTTAGACCCGAGGTGTTGTCAGCATCTCGAAGTCGTTTCCCCTGGTTACCTGCTGGTACAATCACTTCTTGTTTTGAGGCACCTCAAAACTAGTTACCTGCTGGTACAATCACTTTTTGTTTTGAGGCGCCTCAAAACTAGTTACCTGCTGGTACAATCACTTTTTGTTTTGAGGCGCCTCAAAACTAGTTACCTGCTGGTACAATCACTTTTTGTTTTGAGGCGCCTCAAAACTAGTTACCTGCTGGTACAATCACTTTTTGTTTTGAGGCGCCTCAAAACTAGTTACCCGCTGGTACAATCACTTTTTGTTTTGAGGCGCCTCAAAACTAGTTACCTGCTGGTACAATCACTTTTTGTTTTGAGGCGCCTCAAAACTAGTTACCTGCTGGTACAATCACTTCTTGTTTTGAGGCGCCTCAAAACTAGTTACCTGCTGGTACAATCACTTTTTGTGACGACTCAAAATGCTGGGGTCCCCCTACCTATCACTCTTTCCCATCAGAGCCGAGTCTGGAGCCGTGGAGTGTGGGGTGGGCGGGCACGCTTCTTCTCTTGCATCTCTACGTTTTGGAGACACAAGCAATACCTGCACTGACCGCCACGGAATACCCCCTCTCGCAGCGGGTAAGGAGACGCCGATAAGGGAGTATGTCTGTGGGATGGGAATACCCCCTCTTAGCCAGGAACTTGTGAGTTGGGTAAGGAGAGGGTGTGTATTCCATTGGTGTAGTTCTCTCTCCTTCCCTGTTGCACTCCAAGTCACTCGTCCGTCCCCCCTGTCTCCCCCCTCCCCCCTGTCTCCCCCTCCCCCCTGTCTCCCCCCTCCCCCCTTTCTCCCCCCTCCCCCTGTCTCCCCCCTCCCCCCGCTCCTCCCGATCCAATGTACCAGATTTTGCTTGACATGTGTGATTGGTCGCGGCGATTCCCGACCCTGCTGGCCTCGTTCGGTCCGAACCTGCACCTCTTGCTCGGGCAGTATGCCCATGCCACGGGCAACCTGCCAATCGCAATCCGCCACTTCAACACCGCTGCTGCCAAGGTAGGGTGGTAAAGGTCTACATACTGCTCTATTTCTGCTTATTGGCTGAATAGACAAATTTTGGTTGACATTTTGCAAACTTTTTTAACAATCTCTCTCCTCCTCACCTTCGCCCTTTTTTCCCCACATTCCCACATTCCCACATTCTCATGCTCCATCAACCTCCGTCCACAACCAGCACCATCGCCGCATCCACTGCCTTGCTCACTGCCTGTCTAAGCCAGCTCGAATCAGTACCTCATCCCTCAACCACTCTGTCTATCCTTCCCTTGCCCTCCCGGGCTGCCTCGTCCTCCCCCCACCACCAGCACCATCATCGCCCCACTCGATGCCTTGTCCCTTTGCCTTGAAATCACAACCTCATTTGCACAACCTCATTTGCACAACCTCATTTGCACAACCTCACTTGCACAACCTCATTTGCACAACCGCTCCCTCTCCCCCATTATCCCGCATGCGTGCTTCCAGGCTTCGTCATCCTCCCGCCACCATGCCCACCATCGCCCCATCCGCAGCCGCGCGCTCTGCCTGTTCAAGGGACTGTAATCACTTCCCACCGTCTCCCACTCCCTCCCATCCCTACCCTCCCAGGCCGTGTCATCCTCCCCCACCATGCCCACCATCGCCCCATTCGCTGCCTCGCGCTCTGCCTGGCAGCCATTGCGCATCTCACCATCGACGATCCGAGTCACTCCCACATATCGCAGGCAAGTTGGTTGATTCATCTATCACACGGTGCAGCCAGGTAGTGCAGCGCATGTGGCTCCCTTCCTTCCCTGCCATGAACTGCACTGCGAGGCTGCGATCGCGCAACTCACCATCGACGCTCCAAGTCACTCCCACGTATCGCTGGTATGCTCGTCAACAGCTTCAGCACCCTCATCCTCGTCGCCCTCATCCTCGTCATATTTCTGAAGCTGCATCGACCTGTCTCCTCCCTCACTCTTTTGCCGTCACACACCTGCTCGCTGCCTCCTTCAAGGGTCGCCGTCACTCATGGTGGGAAGGGCAGCAGTGCTAAGTAAAATCCACGTGAACTGAGACTGCTTTTGAGGCGCCTCAAAAGCACCTGCTCGCTGCCTCCTTCAAGGTTTCCGCTCACCTGCAACCACTTAGGCGCCTCAAGAGTGATCTTACTTTGTATAATATCCGCATGCCCTATCTTCGCATCCATCTGTCATCCCTCTTCCAGGCAGTGGACATTCTATCAGCCTTGGAGCAGGAGGAGCAGCAATACGCCCACATGCGACAGATGCAGCAGCAACAGCAGCAACAGCAGCAACAGCAGCAACAACAGCAACAAGGGGCATCAGCAGCAGCACCAGCAGCACCAGCAGCAGCAGCAGCAGCAGCAGCAGCAGGAGGAGGAGAGGATGAGAGGATCAGGGAGCAGTGCGCTCAGCTGCTGGCGTCTGCGTTGCTGGCTCTGAGGCAGGGCAATCTGGTGGAGGCCAGGTGAGTCTGGTGGTGTGGGGTGGGTTGATGGTGGGGGTGTCAGGTGGGTTCATGGCGCCAGGTGGGTTCATGGCGCCAGGTGGGTTCATGGTGCCAGGGGGGTTCATGGTGCCAGGTGGGTTCATGGTGCCAGGTGGGTTCATGGTGCCATGTGATTGTAAGCAAGCCAGCAGCAGCAGCAGGGGAGGAGAGGGTCGGAGAGCAGTACTCTCGGCTGCAGGCAGTTGCGTTGCTGGCAGTGCACTCCCAGCGCAGGGCAACTTGGTTGAGGCAAGGCGAGTCTGGTGGTGCCAGGTGGGTTGATGAGGCAGCATGATTGTACCGAGGAAAGGTGGTGTACTGAAACCAGCATCAGCGTCTGCTCTGCTGGATTAAGGCAGGGCAACCGGGTGAGTGCATGGTGAGGGAATGCTTTTGAGGCGCCTCAAAAGCGCGCTTTTCGTTTTGAAGGAATGGCTTCAAGTAAGGGCTTTAAGGAAGGGAAACTGGCTGGACCTGGATGCCAGATGGGGCAGTAGAAATGGCTAGGCCCGTCGATAGCAATAGCATGATGAAAGAAGATTTACCTCGTCATGTAAAGCATGCTCCGTACCTATAACATGACTCATGTTTTCCTTTTATCCTGGTGTATTTTGAATCGACTTAAAATTACAAGCACTAGCATGCTCCTTACCTGTATCATGACTCGTGTTTTCCTTTTATCCTACATTGCAGGAACCGCCTGGCCTCTGGCTTGAAGCTGACTCATCGCCAGCTCAGCAACCACCAGATCGCCGCCCACTTCCTGTTGGCCATAGGGGGAATCGCGCTGCGCACCAGCGACCTGATCGGAGCCAAGGACATCCTAAAGTCGGGCCTGACTCTCTTCCGGGCGGCGAGGGACACGCAGGGAGTGGTGGCAGTGGCGTCAGAGCTGACACGTGAGTGCAGGGGGGTGGGAAAGAGGAGTTCGTGGTACAGGGGGATGCAGGGGGTTGCAACTTGCAAGGGGGTGCAAGGACATCCTAAAGTCGGGCCTCACTCTCTTCCGGGCTGTGAGGGACACGCAGGGAGTGGTCGCAGTGGCGTCAGAGCTGACACGTGAGTGCAAGGGGGTTCATGTAGGGAATCCTTTCTCTAAATACCTGAAACCAGTTTTGAGGCGCCTCAAAACTATTATCTAAATGCCTGAAACCAGTTTTGAGGCGCCTCAAAACTATTATCTAAATACCTGAAACCCGAAACCTTAAGGAGAGTGCCTGAAACAGAGAGTGACTCTCTGTTGTTCATACTCTCGGCCGTCCCCTCGTCTTGCATTCCCCCGCGACCCCCCTCCTCCCAGTGCTACATGGGAAGAGGTGGAGGCGATGGCAGCAAGTCAGAACGCGGCGTATCTTGTGTCGAGGCATCTCTCAACTAGACTCGCCAGTGTTCATTTTCTTGGCCCGCCTCTCTTCTCTGCTTGTCCCTTTGTCTCTCCCTGCATCTCCGCCCTCCTCTCAGTCCTACATGGAGGGGCAGGGGAGGCGATGGCAGGGACTCAGAATGTGACGTTTCCGGTTTTCGGGCATCTCTGTAGTACATTCTGCGCGGCTTATCTTAATTTTCTTCCTCTCTCCTCCCTTCCCAACTCCTCTCCTCCCAGTCCTTTACGGGAGCACAGGGGAGGTGATGGCAGAGAGTCAAAATGCGGCGTATCTGGCTCGAAAGAGAGCCGAGCTGGGTCAGCAGGTCACAGCAGCAGTCAACGCCCCGGGCCACGCTGCCTTGCTCCAGGTACAGCACGGCTTTTGAGTCGCTCAATGGCTGGTCAGCAGGTTATGCAGGCCGACAGTCAATGCGCCGGGGCATGCTGCCCTACTCCAGGTACCGTTGTCCTTTGTGCTGTTGCCGTGCATTGAGTCGACCCAAAGTACGGGGAGGCAATGGCAGAGAGCCAAAATGCGGCGTGTCTTGCTTGCAAGAGAGCAGAGCCGATCCAGCAGGTTTCAGCAACAGTCAATGCGCTGGGGCGTGCTGCCTTGCTCCATGTACAGTAGTCCCTTTGAGTCGACTCAATGCCTTGAGTCAGCAGGTCGCGCAGCAGCAGTCAACGCCCTGGGGCATGCTTCCCTGCTCCAGTACCCGTGGTCTTATTGCGATGTTTTCTCTATATCGAGTCGAACCAAAGTCCACCCTAAGCGTCCGGTACTGTAGAGCTTTCGTGCGTAACACACCAAGGCGCACTTTGACTGCTTCTTGTTTCTCCCTGTTTCTCCTCCCGATCCTTCCAGTATGGCATTTCCCAGTAGGGTTATCGTATATGGTGGAGGCTTAAGACTCGTCAACGTGCTTCTCACAGAGCACAGGGCACAGAGCACAGCGCACAGAGCACAGAGCACAGCGCAGAACGCAGAGCGCAGAGCACAGAGCACTGAGCACAGAGCACATATTTGTCTCATGATGCTCCTGCATTGCCAGCTGTGGCTTTCGTCATTCCTGCTGCTGCTGTTCTTGAGGCGCCTCAAAATAGTCAGCTATGGCTTCCATTTCTGTTGCTGCTGCTGCCACTACCGCTGTTGCTGGAGCTGCGTGGAGCAGACGCAGGTCTGCGACATTTACAGGTCGTTTGCAGCTCGGAATCAGTGGAGTGAGTTAGGGGGCACAGTGGCTGTGCTCGTGCCCAGGGGAGATGTTTTACTCGACTAAAAAATCATTCACAGGTCATTTGAAGCTCCGAGACAGTGGAGTTCGCTTGGGCACATCTGCTGTGCTCATGTGCCCAGGGGGTCAAGGGCATGCATGGAGACTTGCATCCTTTGAAATGAAACGGGTCTCCACAGCAAGCCATAGAAATACATTCAGGATGTTTTTATCCAATGAGGATTGTGAAGCATATTGTGGCTGTATTCAGCCATCCTATCGCAAGTTCTGACAAAGCATTTAGGCACGGTAATTGTGCCTACACTATTCAGCCTGGTCCAAAAATACCCACCCCCACAAATAAAAAAAGGTACCTGAACGCCATATGAAAGCACCTCGTCCCTCTGGCGTTACCCCTGTAACCTCTCCAGCCTAACCATACATCCTATTATTGAAGTATGCGCGTGCACTGGTGTTGCCAACGCGTGATTAACTCACCACCATTCCCTTCATCACCCCCACCTGGTATAGTCTACCAGTCCACTGCACGTGCTCCATAAAAAAGGTCCGCATCCGCTGCATGTGCTTGCACTGCCGCCAACGCATGATCAAGTCACCAGCGCTCCCCTCATCAGCTCTGCCCGGTACAGTCAACCCGTGAGGAGTCTTTTTTTTTTTACCAGCGCCTAAAAAATAGACTCCAATGCATGATCAAGTCACCAGCGCTCCCCTCATCAGCTCTGCCCGGTACAGTCTACCCGTGCACTGTATGTGCTCCGTCAAAAGGGTCTGCATTCACCGCATGCGCTTGCACAGCAGGCGTATTACGAGTCGGCTCGAGATACTCCGAGCCTCCCCGTATCTGCGCTCATCTCATCATCCCTCTACCCGTGCACTGTATGCGCCCCATCAAAAAGGTCCGCATTAGCTGCATGCGCTTGCACTGCTGCCAACACATGGTTAATTCCCAAGCCTGAACCTCCATTGGCCAGCCCCGAGCCTGGTGCTCCGGTCCCCAAACCTGCCGATGCCGAAGCTCCCGCAGCTGACAGTGCATTTACCCCATCTGGGCCCGCTCCTCTCACCCCGCCATACCCCAATTACTCCCACCAGCCCCAATGTTGCTCTCCCCTTCGCCCTCATTCCCTGCACCCTCCTCCCCTCCCGCATCCTCCCCTCCCCTCCCAGCCCTTCCCCCGCCCCTCGCTCCCCCTCTTTGATCAACCGAGTCAGAAGCTCCTCTATCTGCACTGCCGTTGCGTCCCTGTTGGCCTTGGTGAGTGTGAGCACGGCTGGAAAAAGGAGGGCAAGGAGGGAGGTGGGGAAGGGGTGGTGAGTTTGACGCATGGCCATCTCCCCCGCCTTGATGAGCCGTGTGAGCAGCCCTTCGACCTGCACTGCCGTTGCGCCCCTGTTGGCCTTGGTGAGTGTGAGCACGGCTGGAAGGAGGGGGGAGGGGGGGAGGAGGGAGGTTGGGAAGGGGGTGGTAAGGTTGAGAGTTCCCTTTCGTCCTGGAGTCAGCAGCTCCTCTATCGGCACTGGTGCTGCGTCCCTGCTGGCCTTCGTGAGAGTGGGTGGGAGCAAGATGACTTTTGAGTCGACTCAAAATTCATCTTGGTGAGAGTGAGCACGGCTGAAAGGCAGGGAGGGGGAGCAATGGCGGGAACCGGGTGATGGGTTGATACATCCCTCTCTCCCCCTCCTTCACCAGCCGAGCTCCTCTATCAGCACTGCGGTTGCGTCCCTGTTGGCCTTGGTGAGGGTCAGCACGGCTGCAAAAAGGGGGGGGGCGGAGGAGGGAGGTGGGGAAGAGGTGGTGAGTTTGAGGCATCCCTCTCTCCCCTCCTTGACCAGCCGAGTTAGCAGCTCTATCTGCACTGCTGTTGCGTCCCTGCTGGCCTTGGTGAGTGTGAGCATGGCTGGGCGGGAGGGAGGGAGGGGGGCAAATCAGAGAGGAGGGTGCACTGCTATTGCGTCCCTGTTGGCCTTGGCAGGAGTGAGCACGGCTGGAGCAGGCAGTTGTGGGGGAAGGGGGGAATGCCACAATCTAATAAAGAGAGGTAGAACCAAGCATCTGAAGGGGAACCTGAGAAGCAGCAGACGTGACAATAAAGAGCTGTGCGTGGGAAGACGCCCCAGAAGTGGAGACGAATATTGGGCATTCATGTATAAGCACCTGTGTCTGCACGCTGCTTGATCTCCTCTACTAGCTCAAGAGTGTGACCATAACGAGGAGCAGGCAGCGCGCCAAACACCTGGGGATGCACATAACGAGGGGAACAGCGGAGTGGGTGAAAATAACGATGAGAAAACATGGAGGAGAAACGTCGTATGCAGTGTAAGGAATGGTGAAACACAGCGAATGTGGCAGTGAATAGAGGTAAGCGACAGGTAGTGGAAGCTAGGAGGGCGAAAAGGATGAGGCCGCTTACAGCAACAGGCGAGGCTAGCAGGTTCAGCACAGCGTCTCTGAACTTGTCACTGCACAGCTCCATGCGACCGATCTGGTGGGGGGGAGGGGGGGAGGGCAAGAGGAGCGTGAGAGGAAGAGGTCGAACAAGCCATCTGGAACGGCAAGCAGGTTCAGCACGGCGTCTCTGAACTTGTCACTGCACAGCCCATGCGATGCGACCGATCTGGTGAAAGGGAGAGAGGGGGGAGGAGGGAGGAGAAGAGAGGAGAAGGGAGGAGAAGGGAGGAGAAGGGAGGAGGGAGAGGGGAGAGTGAAAGGAAGAGGGGCGCAGAAGAGGGACGAGCCAAGAGGCAAGCAGGTTCAATACAGCATCCCTGAACTTGTCACTGCACAGCTCCATGCGACCGATCGGGGAAGAGGGAGGCAGGGGGGGGCAGAAAAGGGAGGGAAGAGGGAGGGTGTGAGAGGAAGGAGGGAGGCGGAAGAGGGGGGCACCAATAGGCGAGGCTAGCTGGTTCAGCACAGCGTCTCTGAACTTTCACTGCACAGCCCCATGCGATTGGTCTGGTGGGGGGGAAGGGGGGTGAAGGGAAGAGGGAGAGCGGGAGGGAAGAGGGAGAACGAGAGGGAGGAGGGAGGAACGGCGTCCCTGAGTCAGTCAGTGCCACCAGTAGAATCGGTCACATTTTTTAGGCGCCTCAAAAATAGACTCCTCACGCAGCAGTAGAATCGGTCACATTTTTTAGGCGCCTCAAAAATAGACTCCTCATGCACCAGTAGAATCGGTCACTCACCCTCCCTCCTCCCCCTCTCTCCCTGCGACTGATCTGGTGGGGGGAGAGAGGGGGGAGGAGGGAGGGAAGGGAAGCGGGAGAGTGTGAGAGAATAGGAGAAGAGGGAGGGTAACAAGCAGGAGAGGCAAGCAGGCACAACACAGCGTCTCTGAACTAGCCTCGTCCACGATATGTAGTCGCGTGCTGCCAGACGGCATGGGGTGCAGCAGCTCTTGCTCAAACTTTGTCAAAGGTAATTTTTGAGTTGACTAAAAAATCAGGTGCGGCAACACCACTCGCTCAAACTTTGTCAACCACTGCATGTGAGCTACATGGCAACAGCCCGACATACCTCGCCCACTATATGCAGTCGCGTGTTGTCTTTTGAGGCGCCTCAAATGTGAGCTACATGGCAACAGCCCGACATACCTCGTCCACTATATGCAGTCGCGTGTTGTCTTTTGAGGCGCCTCAAATGTGAGCTACATGGCAACAGCCCGACATACCTCGTCCACTATATGCAGTCGCGTGTTGTCGGACGGCATGAGGTGCGGCAATACGACTCGCTCAAACTCGTCTATAGCCACGTAGTACTTGCCGATCTGCGGGTGGGGGAACGCAAGAGACCAGCAGGGAGACAGGACACATGGCACGTGTTTTGAAGGGGCCGTACGGCACCATTCGCTCAAACTCGTCTATAGCCACAAAGTACTTGCCGATCTGCCGGGGGGGGGGGGGAGGGGGGGAGGATTATGAGGTGCTTCGTCATGCTCCGAGGTTCATCCTGAGGAGAAATAGGAGAAGGAGGAGCACAAGAAACAATAAGGGGTCATTCT